TTTTCCAAATTTTCATCATTTTCTTTTTTTTTTTTTTAACTAATTATGAAATTATATTTATTGTAATTTTATATATTTTTATAAATTATAAATTAATCACTGAAAAATATTATACTACAAATATTATGAAAATTATAAGTAATTAAAAAAAATTGTAATGTATAAAATTTTTACATGAACAAAATTATTTTAATTATAAAAAATTATAGAAAAAATTAGAAATCATTTTGAATATAAGAAAGAATTTTTTTGATGCTTCATTCTATATCATTGTTATTTCTGTTTATTAATTGATCATTTTAGTTATATATAAATGCTATATATATCATTTAGTTAATTTATAAAAAAAAATTAATTTTCTTTATTATAATAAAATAGTTTTGAAAAATAGGTTCAGATTAAAGTGTAATTATAAAATGAAATATATCAATATATATATATATATATAAAATAACTTTATTTTATGGAATAATCATACTAGTGCACAAAATATTATGTAGAAAAAATTAGACCTATGCATATTTTCTATAGTTGCTATAAGTGCTATAAGATTTAACATAATTATTATGTTAAATCTTTCCAAACGTTTTTTATATAAAAAATTAATTTTTTATTTTTTATGAAAAGGATATTATAATTAGTAATAAAATATATAAATATGTGAATTTTAATTTTTTCATAAATTACTTATGAATCAAAATTATTATTGTAGAATTATAAAATTATTAGTTATAAAACACTAATGTAAGTTTATAATTTACTATTTATAGTATATATAAAGGCAGTAATAAGCATTTAAAATACAGCATATTATGTAAATATAAAGGCACCACTTTATGTACAGGGTGATATAAACTCTATGTATGTATATGAAACAAAAATGAAAATGTATGATTAATGACATTGCTTTTGGGAACAATAGAGAAAGAATCACCCTGTATTATGGAAATATTAATGTTCACGATTCCATCTCCATACAGTAGCATCATCACAAACGCATAATAAAACTGAACCATCTCTGCTTAAACTAGTTTGACGTATAGGTGCAGT